GATAGCTACATTGGGATTCTTGCTTTAAGAATTTTTGAAACAAATTTTAGTACAGTATAATTTAAAATTTTAGATATTCATTGGCGGGCCAATCTAAATAGTACGGCAGGCCAACTTTGGCCCGCGGGCCCCACTTTGGGCACCCCTGGTCTAGAGGATGGATGGATGGATATAAAGTCGTGTAGAACTATAACTATAAAAAGTTATTATGGGGGGGTCATAGCTGCAGGGGAAAAAATAGAGAACTAGGGAGTGGGTTGAGGTGGTAGCAGACCTATTTTGAATTTGTGACCTTTAGAAATATAAAAAACAATGTCAACACATTATATGCCTGCGACGGAGGTGGGTGGTGGGGGGGGGGGGCTGTTAAAAAAATGTGAATGCCACAGTTTTACAGGATATAGATTGAAGTGCAGTAGTTGTACAAATATTTGCTGTAGGATTTAATTTGCCTAAAAATATTACACACAAAACATTTATTCTAAATTTGCTCTTCAATTCCTTCTTTATGGGACCAACGTAGGTTGGCAGTTAGGCTTAAAATGTATTATTACTTTATGCAATAAATAGTTGGTAGACGGATGGATGTGTTATTGTTTTGTTTATTCGAATAGATATTTACTTTCCAAACTTCATCATCACCGTTCAGAAATTTGCTTGGCTTTCAGACATCAGGAAATTTTTCCATAATTATGCAGCAACATGCCGGGCCAGCTGTGGAAAAGCCAAGGTCCCAATCCCACTCAGGTGGCCCTCGTTAAGCCCCCAGGATCTGGATGCCTGGCACAAACATCTCCGCTTCACTATAAACAAAGCTATGCGGCCCAGATGGGCCCCCCAGGACACAAAAATCCCATGGTCCCCACTGTAAAAAAAAGAAAGAAAAGAAAAAGAAAACCTTTTATAGCTCATTATGATAGTTTTCAGAATGAATGCTTCGGAGGGGGGGGGACGGTTAGAGGTTCTGACTGTGTAGTCATTGCACAGACAATGTTTTGCAATTAGCATTTACTGATTTCACATATAGTTTGCACGCATTTACTTTTACCAATTAGTTTGATTCTTTTGTGATGCAACATGCAATATGTCATGCATAGTTTGTTTATATCACTTTAGGGCATTCACCATAAAGTTTCCTGATAGACACGCATGAGATACGTAATTCACGCGCTCGGTAGGACGCAACAAGCCTAATGCGTTTCCCGAGCATGTCGTGTAAATCCAGTTCATTCGATCGGAACTTTAAATTGTGTCACAGAAAGGTAAAAAAAAGAATAAGAATCGTTTTCAGTTGCTGTTGAGGAACGTGCGGCAGCCAATGTCTGGGTGGCTAATCAGAAGAATTCTAACTGCCCCCCCCCCGCCACCCCCTGGATGGAGGGGGAAGGAAAATGTGCGGCGACATGCAGGGTAATGCATTTAATAACAGTGCAGTGTGAGTCACACCACACTGCTCCCCCTGCTGGTGGGGGAGGAGGGAGGGAGGCGTGTTCATGCACTTTGCCGCTAATCTCCGCTCTGTCGCCCCCTAGGGATGTCTTGCCCTTCACCCTGGAACTCCCGGAGGCCATCGCGTCTGCCAGGACCAGGGCAAACCTGCAGGACATAGCCCAGCTTGGGGCAGGTGAGAGCTGGCCTGTCTCCTGTTTTTACCAGCAGGTGGCGCGGCGTTGAAGGCACTGGGCATTGTTACTGAGTTCTGAGTGTTATATCTGAATAGCTACCACTGTAGCTGGTCTCGCAACAAACCTTTTCATTCTCTTGTATGCCGTTACAAACCATCCCCTCCATTACCCAGAACTCCCCTCCAGTCACCCCCAACAAAGCCTTCTGGGTACTAACTTAACCAGTTAGAACAAAAGGTCACATATTAATGTAAAACACTGAGAGGGGCTGAGCTGGACACCCTAAGTGTGTAAGTGGCACATAAAATAGATGATAATGTTTGTATGAGTCGTGCTGTTAAGCGCCAGTTTTCATGCCTGTTTTGCCTTGAAATAGACACTGGCAGTGATTTTGTCAGCGAATACTCATAGACATAAACAGGGACCCCAAGACATTCGTGAGGATTAGGGGTGGAAGATCTCCTCCAATGTGACAATTTGCTAAATTCTTGGGCCCCTCTAACCTGCACCCATAACAGCCTGCTAGCCTGAAGTCTATAAAGTCTATTTATTGCTAATTTCTAAACAATCAGCACTGTACTCTACATCTGCGTGTCAGATTGTTTTGTCATTTCTTATCTAGACCTTCTTATAGGCCTATAATATACTAACCATCTAATTTATGCCCCTGTATGTACAAAGTCGCTACTGTACGCACTGGGAGCAAAGATGGGCATATAGTATGAAATTACTAATTATTATTATTAAATATTGTCACTAATTTTTGTGAATGTCATGATATTTATGTGATCCAAATCAATTTCAGTATTGTTTTTGGCTCATGCGTCATGTTCAGGTTTTCATACTCTTGAATGAATGAATGAACATTACATTTATATAGCGCCTTTCAAGTCACCCAAAGCGCTTTTACCGAGCCAATGGGGAGCCGCTTCAACCACCGCCACTGTGTAGCCCCCACCTGGAGGATGTAATGGCAGCCGTTTTGTGCCAATACACTCACCACATTTCTCATTTAATTGTTCACGGGCAACTAGCGATTAACCCAAGCCCTGAATGCCAGGGTTACTGTACGTGTATATAAACTTTCATGGCAAGCAAATCCACGTGGCAGGTAGATGAGAGGAACAAAAACAAAAGAGCCATTGTGACATCAGCACAGGAACAAACATGCAAGACAACAAAACGGGCATCACGTCACGTTAGGCCGGCAAATGAGACTGGACATCCGGGACCAACCCCCCTCTTTTGTTTCCTGTACTGCTGAAACAGCTGCACTGTGTTTTCCCCTATGACCTGTCGGAGAAATACTCACTTAATTTCAAATTACGCGATTAGTGAAGGTATGCGAACGCAGTCTTGACGCTGTGTTAATTACACCTTGACGTGGAATGGCTGAGGACACAGGCCTCGAGTATTTTTTTTTATCTTTGTTTATCTTGGCTCGCCTGGGAGGCGGGTAAAATCCGCACTTTGCACAAACTGCCAGCCACCTGCTCTGCCTACGAAGTGCCGAAACCTTTCTCAACTTGTGGTCGTGCATTTTTACCCCTTAAAGTGCGTGGGGAGTCAAGTCAAAACAGCACTTGTCTAAAATGTTGCGAAACGGCCTTGATTCAGGGTGACTTTCATGCTGTTCAGTGATTATTTAATGCTTTTCTTTAATACTAGTCTCTCTCTGATGGTCAGCGTGGTTTAGAGAAATGCAGATGTGTCAGGCATGGTCAGCATTCAGGTGCTGACCATCTCCGGATGTTTGCACCCGATTATCACTCATGTCTCAAGTAGCTCCGAAGATTCATGCTCGCGCTCTTCTATGTTTTTTGTTTAGTTAGCTGAAGAAATCAAACTGGTTAGGCGGGTCGGTGAGGCCATAACGGGAATCGAGGCCTTGACATTTCAATGGCTTTATCTTCATGCTTTACCGCCACGGTGGATACAATCAATTCCTTCATCCAAAGCAAACCAGTATGTGGAAATTTTGCTTTTTCCACACCCTGTGATTTTTGAATGCCTACATCATCAGGCACAAAATCAGATTCCTGCCACCTGTAGATATTCTCCGATGACTCCTTCTGTGAGGGATGCCTCCCCCGTGGAGATGAGGGGGAGCACAGGAAACAGGCAGTTGATTTCTGGCTTGCCAGGGGGGGCCTGAGTGCAGGAAGGGTAACACAGTGAGGTCACACAGGTACTTGGGAGTCCGTTCAAGGAACAGACTGGCCTGGCTGGACAATCCCACTGCAGTGTATGAAAAAGACCAGAGCAGGCTTTATTTTCTGAGGAAGCTCAGGTCTTTCAACAAGAGCAGTAGGCTACTTTAGATGTCCCCCTCTGTCCGGATAAACACGTTTGCCCCCCCCCCCCAGAAATGTGTTCTGCAATGTTGACAACAATTGCTAATTTTTAAACATATTTTAATTTGATTAGAATAGAATAGAATAGAATAGAATAGTTACTTTATTGTCATTCAGAGATACACAGGTTAGTGCACAACAGACTGCCAAGCTATGCAATTTTTCTGAGAATGACTCAAACAAGGTTTCACTCCACCATGTCCACCAACACTGAATTTTTCCTGTTTATGATATCACTCTCAAAACGGAAGGTGAATGTTTATGAACAAAAAAATGTAAAACCTATTTGGCAAATGTCAGAAACCATTAATTGTGACAACCATTAAATGTGCCCTTAACAGCTGAAAAGATAATTTTAAGTTATTAGGCTTCAATAAAATAAATCAAATATTGCAAATTATGATATTTTTTAACAATGTATTAAAATGAAATGAACCAAGTAACAATTACTCCCCTTTCTCCTGTTTTCCCAGGAGACGCCGCTAACGAATTTTATCTGTTTATTCTGCGGTTATGTGTAATGTTACCACGAAAGATCTTGTGGAGGGAGGAATACTATTAGTTTCTTTAATAAAGCCCTAATTTTAACACATAAATGTATATTGATATAAATGGTATTGTCGTCCTTTATCTTGAAAATATGTCAATAGCAATGTCACACTTTTTTCTACACTTTTCAAGTAAATTGTGCAGCCTCGTCGAGGCCCCCCTGGTGGGCAAACAACCCCCCCCACCACCACCAGTTGAGAACCGTTGACCTGAAAGTCTTTGTCCAATATATTTTTCTCTTCAGAGTATATATGTCTAGCAATCAAAAATGGCTGAACGGGAAAGCCGACTCTGGACTCATTGCAAGGAGTGGATGAGGAGAGAGAGATGGAAAAGCTTAAATCTGTCATTAGCAGCTCCATGAGCTGCTCATTCCGCTGCAGCATTGTCTATTCTTTTGAAGTGAAGTATCCATCTTAAGGGTAACAGCTTCAGGCTGAAATCCAAAACCTTCTAGTCATAATTCCAGTCTTCCCTGACTGTTAACTCTTGCAGCGTGCCCCCTTGAAAAGACTATAGTGGGTGAAACACCATGTAAGCCTGGTGTAACTCTCAAGTTGGCACTACTGATCTATCGCCAGCCCCACTTTGAACACGAGATGCCAGGTGTCTGGTTTCTCATCATGGAAAACCTGGTTTCCAGTTTCCGTCAGGTTCCATCTAGGTCTGTTCAGCTTAGTTGGATATACATCCCCCTGACACAGGAAGATGGAGCTTTGGACACCTTCTACTGACATAACTTCTCTCATACAGTCCTACTCCGATAAACCTAAAAAGGTGTGAATACAATTATACAAAACAGCACTCAGCATAAATGGCCACTGAATGACAATGACAAAGGGTGATTTGTTTTGTACTAAGAGTCTATTGTCGCTCGGCTTCTGGGAGTAAACTGAGAGGCCGGTAGAAATACGGCAGCGGCGGACTCTGCGAGTCGAGACAGTCTAGGTTTTTTTTAGTTCAAGGGGAGTTTTGAGAAGAGAGGGGAAACTCCCAGTGCGGCAATGCCGCACAAAATTGGGAGGTAGTCTTTTGAAGTGGGGGAGGAGCTTCGGGGAGGGATGGGGGCGGAGTCAGTCAACTCTGCAGCCGCCCACTCAGCTCATATTATGTGTGTGACCTTGTTTGCTAGTCAGACTTCTGCAACACAGGACTTAACTTCAGCTCCTCACTTCACTTCTGTGAGAGATTTATCTGTTTTTTTTTCCTTCCCCTGTGCTTCAGTTGCCTACTTTTAGTTGAGCAACAGCAATGTGAGTATCAGTAATTAACGTGTTTTGTATTCTGTGCCTTCAGATTTTAGTGTTATAAGTTCTGGTGCTTTTATGCAGTGGGAATATTAGCTGTCGGCATGCTGTCTGTCTTAGGAGTGTGTTGTGTTCAAGTTTGACTGACACAGATCCATTGTCTGCCATTACACTGTCTGACTTGCTTCTTCTTGCTTTCCTGGGCAGAATTCTGGGATTCTGCTCTCTGTAGGATCAAGGGAGCTGGCTTGGACCAGACGGGACAAACAGCTGAGGAAGGCTGCCCTGCAGCCACGTGGATCCACTTGCCCTCCCAGTCCAGCGTGGCTCTTTGTTTTATCAACCCCTTATTCTATCAGGAGTCTCAGCCCCAGAAGGACCCAGTCAGACCCCCATCCCCGAAAACAGCACCTCTAAGCTCGTCTTCGCGCTGCCCAGAATCGGCTCAGGGGAAAAGGAGAATGCCGGAGATGGCATATTGGATCAACCCGGAGTCACAGCTGCCGGGAACCACGGCGCTGGGTGGCCAGACTGAGATGGAGAAGATAATGTTTCGTTATCTCAGCCAGATTTCAGGCTACTCCACTCAGCTAGAGGAGGACATCTCTGCCCTCACATGCGGACAGTATGATGAGGTGGCGACAGCTTCGAGGGAGAGGGTAGACTCGGACAACCGGATGAGCTACATGAGCACCTCCACCTCCTCTTCGGACTCTCCTCCTCTGGATTTGGGCACCTGCCGCCGCCTGGGTCGAGGAATGACTGACAGCAGCGTGGAAGAAGAGGAGGAGGAAGATGAGGGAGAGGTGGTGGAGTTTGAAGATGAAGACTGCAACGTCAGCACGGAGAGTGACCAGGAGGTCAGCACTCGCCCCGCCGGCAGGGTCAGGAAGAGGTCAAGCGTGAGCTCAGCGAGGCTGTCGCAGGCGCTGAGGAGACCGATCCACAGGATGATGGATACGCTGGTGATTCCCGAACGTCGGGCCAGCAGGCAGGTGCAGCGCCTTGTGCACGACAAGACCTCCTACTTTAGCTGCCTGGTGCAGGACTTCATCAACTACATCAGGAAGAACCACAGCTGCCACGAGTCTGGCCAGGACCTGCTACAGACTCTGCGCCAGTTCCTGACCCAGACTAAGAACTACCTGTTCCAGAGCTCAGAGCTGAATCCACCAATTCACTCTTTCATCCCCGAGCACCAAATCGGTAAGACATCCTAACATCTCATATTAGAGAGTGAGGTGGGAAGTTGTCAGTATTTTGTCAAACTTGGTCTGTCATACTATAGCTGGCAATAACCAAATAATAAACACATAGAATTTAACTAAGGTAACACTTAACGTTACCAAATGAACGGACGTGGCAGCGTTGAACATCGCGGCTAATTATGATCCCAAGACTTGCACCAGATATCAATAAACATCATTTTGGTGATTTAGAACTTGTGGGTTCTGTGGAAAGGATAAGAGAAGGGAAATTTACATAACGCCATTCTAACTGAATTGCGACTCTATTACCTGCCCATGCAAAGCTGAGAACCGGAGCTTCTCCACGGTGGTCAGGGGGTTAACGCTGAAGCAGATTGCAGCTGTAAGGTGGGGTGATCACGGTGTCACGTTACCGAGCCACTGTGTGCCTAAACAGCAGAGCACCACCTGGGAATGAGATGCACATGGGTCGTTTGCTTCCCGGGCACTGCGTGTGATTCGTATGGTACTGGAACATTCACAAACACTTTCATATGTGCCATTCCTGAGATACCGGAACCGGGTAATAGTACACAAGGCTGCAGCTGATTAGAACCGGGTACACATCTGTTAGCGATACTGTTAAGCAAAATATTTCTGTATTCGGAACATCCATCGGTGGCTATTCCCTAGGAGCTGACCAACAAGTCCCCCCTTGTAATGTGGCAAATGGTACATTCAGGCAGATGCTGACTGTTTGGCTCAGACTACGGACTTGCTAGATTTGGGGGGGGGATTAAGGTAACTGGATAAGAATCTCCCATAGGGCGGGCGCAATGGTTTGTTTAGGTGTGTGCATGTGTGTGTGTGTGTGTGTGTGTGTGTGTGTGTGTGTGTGTGTTTGTGTGTGTGTGTGTTGTAGGTTGAGTCAACCCACCACAACCTAGAGGGAAAGGTGTGGGTGGCTGGAGTTGTGGCTGTACCTGTGAAGTCTTTTTTTCGGTATGTCAACATTGAGGTCTCACCTCCCCCAGTATCTCTTGATTTTTTTTAAAAGCCTGGCACAGAGCTGTGTGCCCCCCCTCCCGATTTTTCCAAAACACATACGTGAGTCAGTGTCGTGCACACACACGGCTTCCCTTGTGTCCAGGCCATTTAGGGAAGTGAACGTGCGGTTTGGTTGACGTCTTCGTCCATAGAATGCCGTGAGCCGGCTACCCACCGGCCGCAGACCTGCTTCCCGTTAAACGAGGAGGCCGTGTCAGGCAGAACTTTGGAGAAGCAGAAGAGGTACCTGTGGTTGGGTGGTTGAGCCAGCGCGGCCATCCAGACTGCTGCAGATGGATACGGTTGGGCCAGGTCTGCCGGGAAAGTGGCAGGACTCTCTCTAAAATTCAGCCATTTTCCCGATCCTGCGGATCGTCCAGCGATTAGCAGGCAGGTGGATGGCTACAGCGAGTGGCGGTTATGCTGGTTACTGGAAATAGGCAGGCTGAGATTCTCTGGGAGACATGGGGAGAGGATGTCAGTAAGCGGTTGGCATTAGACACTGACGTCATGGAGTTTTTGCTGAAATGGGAAAGTCGGTAAGCTGTGGGACTGGTCTGACCAGTCAGGTTTCTTCCAGGAAGTTTGAGAAAGAGCAGATAGTGGCAAGCAAGTCCTTTGTGTCCTTGAGTAAGCAAATGATAAACATATTTATCACGTCTGCGGTTAGCTTTGGTAAGTGCTGCCATCGAATTTGTTTGTTAATGACAGTAACTGTGACTTTAGGGAAGTGCTCGCTTTTTTTGTTTTTTCCTTCTTTCCAGAGGGTGTTTTTAGGCAAGGTTTAGGCCGGTTCATAGTCCTGTGACGATACTTGGTGTCAGACGACAGAGCCTCCTTCAAAACCAGACTCATGCTTATTCAGCGTTCAGAATCCCATTCAGCGCCTTGCCCCGCTGGCATCTGGAAGTCATAAGACCTCACCCAAGAAGTGCATGGAAGCCCGAGAGGCGGGAGCTTTCCAGAACTGCTGTCACCACGGCCTGACTCATCTTGGTCTTGGTTTCTGTTCAGGCGGCTGTAGTTTATGCTGCATTGGCATCTTTTTCAGGGAATTTATATACAGGGCCAGAAGACGATGGTCAGCATGTTTCCTAACCTTGATGAACGGGGGGGTTGGGCTGCCTCACTCACAGGCACTTGCTAATCGCTCTTGCTCTCCCACACCAGACCAGGTGCTGGAGAAGGCCATCCAGAAGTGCGTTCTGAAGCCTCTGAAGAGCATGCTGGTGAGCGCCCTGCAGGACTTCCAGAAGAAGAATGGCGAGTGGCAGCGGCTGGAGGAGAACATGGCCCTGGCCAAGAAAAAGTCCCCCCAGGAGCTCGGTGTGGAGAACGGCTGCACCCTCGACCCCGGCACCATCGAGAAGATACGGCAGAAGTTCCAGGCCATGCGTAAGATGTATTCCCCTGAGAAGAAGGTGGATGTGCTACTGCAGGTGTGCAGCCTCATCTATAGCACCATGGAGAAAAGCTCAGGTACGTCACGCATGCACACTTATGGGGCCACGTGCACTCGCACGGACACAAAGAGCTTAATGCACAAGCGCTGGGCTGCACACTCACTGCTAAATACATGCTTACAATCCAATGGGCAGAGCTGGAGAGGCTCACGCAGACACATTCTGGTGCAATGCGTAGCTTGGTGAATTTTGGGATCTGTGCCCATGTGCGGAAGGTTGTGGGTTTGAATCCCATGTCTGTATTTCTGTTCTATTGTAGGAGCTGATGACTTCCTGCCCATGCTGACCTTTACCCTGGCACAGTGTAACATGCCAGATTTGGACATAGAGATCCAGTACATGATGGAACTGCTGGATCCCTTTCAGTTGAATGGAGAAGGTAACCCCCCCCCCTTCCCATCCTGGTCCCCCCCACCCTCCTCACCTTCCACCCAAGGCAGACAAGTGACATGCGGGTGGTGCTCTCTTCCCCAGGTGGGTACTACCTGACCAGCACCTATGGAGCCATGTCTCTGATCAAGAACCTGCAGAAGGAGCAGGAGACACAGGAGCTCATCTCGGAGACCCGCAACACGCTGCGGCAGTGGCACCGTCGGCTGACGGCCCAGCGCAGCACGCCCGCCATCGAGGACCTACAGGTAACCGCACACTTGGTCAGCTTCTCTCCAAAGCAGAACTTCAGGGTTTCATTTTCCACGTTCTGTCGCACTTCAGCAGTTTTCCTTTTTCTGCAGTTTCAGATTTCAAAATAAGGGATTAACCAGCAACCAAAGAATACCTTTTATCAATAACTTTAGTCCTGACTAAAGTAACGTTCTACTGAAGTGTTAAATTAAATGTTACAGATTCCCAACCTCACAAAATCGAATCGTAGTATCTGACTCTTCTGTGTGTGCTTGCTCACAGAATTACCTGCGGGTGGCGTACCTGGATGCCAACGGCATCTACACGACCAAGACGCTTCCGGTGGCCCCCTATTCCACCACTGGCGACGTGTGCCAGCTGTGTGCGGAGAAGTTCCAGATCACGGGCCCAGAGAGCCACGGCCTCTTCCTGGTGATTGGGGAAGGCTGGCAGCAGCTGAGCCCTGACAGCTTCCCGCAGAGTATCAAGGCCGACATCCACAGCCAGCGCCTCACCTTCAGCTTCGTCTACCGCCAGGTGTCTGAGCTCGGCAGTCCGCCTCGCTGAGCCTGCCAGCGCTCTACCACTCATGGCAGCAGTCGGCCGTCCTGCAACGGACTCGTCTCACCACTGAATTGGGAGATTGAATGAATTATGGTGCCCGCAAAGGATTCTGGGAAGAATCTTTCAAGGGCTATAGTCTGCTCCGTAGTACTCCTCCTTTCTTCTCGGGATGCTGAGCATGTGCATGGGCATGTAAGGGACTTTGCCCCTCCCCCCCCCCCCATGACCCCCTGTCACTGATGCTCCTAACCGGGTCAGGGTCGTCTTGGGCTGCTTGACACCTTGACTGCTGGTGCTCGCCCTATGGGGATGGTGGGCCACTATGTACATATGACAACAAAAGTATTGACAAGCAAGATTTCACTTGTCATGGACTATTTGAGATGTCAGATGTTATAAGGTCAGCTCTCAGAAGAAGTATCATCAAGAAGTATCTGTGCCGACTGCACATTTGTGCGTCGCATAGCTATACGATACTTCAGCTTCTCTGTATTAATAGACATTCCGACAAATGAAGTGTCCCCTTTATTACTTTTTATAAAATACAAATTTTATATATAAATATAATAAATTACGTAGAAAATATATTTTTTGTTCAGTAAACATTTTGATTTTTTTTGTTACAGTTGCTGGTAAACTGACTCATAGATGCATTCTAGGTAAAAGTATTTGTTACTAGAATGTGTTTTTTTTTTCTGCTTATGGCACTGGCGAGAAGCGGAGAGCAGAGCTGAACATTCAGCTTCACGCTTGGGCCTGAAGCCCCTAGCTGAAGCACCGCAACGAGCTGAGCCTCTGCTTGGCCATTTTGGCGACCACGAAATCTAACTCAACCAAGTGCCGCTGGCTTCAAATACTCTGACACAGAAACTACAGACTAGTGCTTTTTTCTAAACTGGGCTGGTTTTTTTAAAGGGCTGCACTCAGCTTTAAATGCAGGTTAGGCACTAAGCGTTTGTCCGGCACCGTGTTGAGGTGAGCCGGTGCATCTGGCTGCATGCAGCCGATTCCCGATTGTGACCCGTTCGGTTCTCTGGCTCAGGATAAATCTTGATGACCGATCCCTGATTAAATCTCCATTTGAGACAACTGAGCGGCCGCTAGCCTGACAACAGCTCCTTTAAGTCGATGTACTCATTTAGGGAAGTCCATTTTTAGAGTATTTATTTAAGACTATGTGGTGCTGTGATCCATTATACTCGTAAATACTCTAATAAGGAAGTAAAACACTCCATAGTCTTAGAAACTAAATTCACAGTATTTATCACCAGGCTATTAGTATTTTCCAGTTGAAACAGGGTATCCCTCTTTTTGCCTTAGATTACTTTATAGTGAAGATGATCATGTTGGCAGCACTTTTGTATGATATATAGTATTTAGAACACTAATTATAGTGCAACTTGATTATCGAACAGTGTTTGCCTGTAGCAGCTGTTTGTCTGTATTGTATACATACAATGTAAAAATGATTTTGATATGGAAATTAAAAAACTGTTGTTGATCTGTGCAGGAATTTTCACAGACCAATATGTAATATTCTGTTTAAATCTTATTGTTAGTTGTGCTGTTATGCATCTGTCATTTTTAACTTGCCCAAAATAAACAGCAGTTATACTGTTGATGATGTCTGTCCTTTCGTCTTCATTTCATTTGCCAAGCAGTAGCTAAATACAGAAGACCACATTCTGCTTGTCAGAAGTATCATTTCAGAGAGGTCATTCAGTTGTGGTGTTACCCATATCCTGGGGGGCCGGAGCCCTGCACAGTCTTTGGTTTCCCTTCGTTTAACACACCTGATTCAGGTCCTTGTGCTAATTACCACACAGCTCTTGAGCTGAATCATTTGTGGTGGAACTGGGAAAGAACTAAAGCTACACAGGGCTCCGGCCCCCCAGGACTGGAGTTTGAGACCCCTGGGTTACACAATACAGGCAAGGGAAATATGTCCATTTTCAGGCAGGATTGACAGAGCACAGAGGAAACTTCATGATGAAGCTGTCTATTTCTGGATCTGATATAGAAAAAATGTGTTATCAAAATACAAAAAAAGATTAGAGATCACCTTGTCTTCCAGAAGCTATCACTTGTGTACATCTCACAAAGGTTAATAGGGCAGAGATAAATTAAGAGGAGCGAGTTTGGTTAGATTCTGTGTAGGTATGTGTATTTATGCTACTTGTTGATTGACTCCTTTTAGCATATAGATAAGGTAGATAAGATCTACGCAGATAAGATCTACGAACACAAAGTGCCGACTGAAAACTCAAGCCACATCCCTTTTACCAGTAAACCCCCACAGCATGGAATTTACCCTATGCTTTTGACTGGAGTCAAAAGAGCCAACATGTTAAATCGTTCATTAGCAGTCGAACAGCAAGTCTCTGTTCCTTCCTTCCTTATTTGTCTGGGTTTTTCCACAAATGTGCCTCATACGAGGTTTATTTTTATTGTGAGCGATGCAATTTGCCGCAGCTAATTTCTGACATCCTGTGCACCCATAACATAGACAACCTGTATGTGTAAGCTGAAGTTTGGTATCGCTATACAACACACAAATGCAGTAAGTAAGCAGGGAGAATCAGCTTAAGCACGGATGCATTAAGAGTGTCAGATAGCTGCTTGTAACTTTGGATTTGGAAAACAAAGAAGATCTTCTCCCACCCAGACTGACATCTTCAACTAAACAAAAGTTCTTGACAGACAGAGCGGCAATGACTAGATGTTAGCGTAACAATGGCAACAGACAAGATGGCTGACGCTGGCCTCGGTGAACAGGTTCTTTATTTTTGATGTGAATGTTTCATGGGCCCTCATCGTGACAAGCAATGCTACCAGATGCTACTAAAGTAGGTGTGCAAATATTTTAAATGTAGGGCAGTACAGTGCCTCATGAGTTAGCACAGCAGCCTCTGGGTCTGTGGAATCCCTCAGTCTGGATTTTCCCCAGGTATTCTGGTTTCCATCCACATTCCGGAGACACGCAGTCGAGGTGAATCGGTCTCCCTGAATTTCCACAGTGTGCCCTGTTTAACATGGACCTAGAATACGTACCAACCACCGTGTGACCCAGTACAGGGTAAGCAGTACAGGAAAATGAAGAGATATACCAACTGTCATGTATGGCAGCCATGATATTTTTTATCCGAGTCACTAACGCATACCGTATAATGTCGCATGTCCTTTTTCTACGTGCTATAGCCCCATCTCGTGGTCTGTCTCTGTATTTCTGCTAGAGAGAACCGATCGAGACTAGAGACAGAAGAAAGAGCCGGGCTATAAAACTGCTTACACACCTTTAAGAGCATATACAGTACAGTGCGCATAGAATTTAGTTTTCATACGAAATATCAGCTTGTTTTCATTATGACTGAACCACTGGGCAGATGTCATTATTTTAGATAATGTCCGTAACCAGTGCAGTCATGAAAAAGTATATAATGTTTAAGTTTCATGGTAATGTATTCAGACAATGCAATCAAATTCTTGTGCCGCAGTATTTTCTTTTTACAATAACACACGGTGACAGACAGAGGGTGGAGCAGAGGAAACCAGTAGTGCAAAACAAGACAATATATTAGTGGTAAGACAATACAGTAGTGGTAAATCAACGCTTCTGGCACACAAAAAAATCGCAAAACCGGTAATTTAGGCAGCTTTATGTATAAATATTAATAACTACTTTAAATAACTACTTATTTTTCTTATATTTTAGTGATTGTTGGTTATTTTAATTCAGTCAAAGTCTAATTGCTAGAGTAAAATAGTAGATAATATTCATAATTTTATATGTGTGTGTTTACCTAACGTAATGATACCGTGAATTCATGCACAGATGGTTACATAAAAGCAATGTTTCGCGGTAATTTAGTGGGAAAAGTGGAAAGCGATTATATGAAATAATAGGTTTTAGGTGTGGACTGAGCGACGAACTGCCCACGCCCACCCCGCTCCAGGCCCCGGTCAGTGAAACGCCCAAAAGGCGCTGTCTGCTGCGTCGCCCCCCCGTTTCCGGTAAGGTATGGGCAAATCAAAGCCCGTCGACTTGTGATCCACCGCAGAACAATAAATAGTTAAAGGTCAGGGAGCTCGCACGGCATGATAGCACCATATTCGCGCTGCATCGGATGAGCAAAAGCCGACCGGTGCAGGATGGAGTATTCGGCGTCGGAGACGGAGACCGACGACTATGAACATCCTTTGTTAGATGGCATAGATCGGGATAAAGTTGAAAAAGGTGGGGAAAGAATCGTATCACTCCATTTTATGCGGATGTTATAGAGCTGCGATTAACACATTGCTCTGCGTTCTATCTGCAAAACCCCTTCGCCGCCTATTTATATGCACTTTATATTGTATTTATATGAAAGTGAAAGAAATCCTGATTCATTGCTGCATGCTTTTCCTAGGCAATACACAGTTTGTAGCAGCCACTTACTGTGCGCTTTTCGGGTACAACAGTCCGTTTGTAACAGCCACTTATTAAGATGAGATTGCATTAAGCATTTGATCGTATTATTGCTTAATCACCAGTAGTTCTTGTGCAGTACGGAAGTCGCCCTGAGTTTTCTCGCTGTCACGTGTCACGTGAGTCACTCTTTGTTTTTTGCTGCTTTCCTTGTGCGCGCAAGATCACCGGTTAGTTTTTGCAAGTCGTACCAACGGCTGCGACACGCTTTCTGGATAAATAGTTATAACGGACTAATTTGCTGTCCTTTCAGAGGCGTAATACACCAAATGTAGGGTGGATATGCAGTGTGTATACCGTCCTTTAAACAACAGTATGTCACATTTGTGTCACGGGACCTCTTCCAGGTGACTGATCATCTGATGGGGAAATGTTTCAGTATATGTGCGAAAAAACATCAGAATAGTTCATCTCCCGCATGAGATTTGAATAAATAGATGAATGAGTTGGATATGCTTTTTATTTGTCATTATTTTGTTAGTTTTTTTTGTGATAACCATGCAATAATTACATCAGTTACAGTTATATTAGGTGCCTCCTTGTAATTGTAATTGTCTTCACTACAATTACAAATAGTACGCAGATATATTCAGAGCTGGACTCGGATTAAAAATCGGACTTTTTGCCGAGCGGGGGTGTTTCCCCTCACGGTAAATTTCGCATGCCCACATAACCACTGGCCTACCAGTGCCTGCTATGCCAGGTGGCCAGTGCAGCGCTGGATATATTATAACATTATAGTAATCAATTTCACTATTGGTTCACCACCGCCTCTATAAGTGCAAAGGTGGATTTCATTATGCATAAACAGGGGATGAAACCTCAGTACCACAAGCTTGTAAATGCAAAATTGTGGAGAATATTGTTATCAGCAGGAATTTGACGGTTGATGAGCTTTTGGTTTATTATGAAAATGTTGGAGACTTGCAGTCCCAATCGGCTTTAGTGAAAATGATGTGGGCACCATCTTATTGATCTGTGTGTGTGTGTGTGTGTGTGTGTGTGTGTGTGTGCGCGCCCCCGACAGCCCCGGTCTGCGGCTCCTCACGCTATGGCCTGGCCTTGCTCTCCTGCTACGGTTTCTTCGTGGCGTACGCACTGCGGGTCAACCTCAGCGTCGCCATGGTGGACATGCTGAACACCAACGTCACGGGCAACGCCAGCCCCTCCCACTGCCCTCAGCATGCCAGTCCCGCCCGGCCCCGGCACAACCACACGGTCAGCACCTCATGGTTTTTTTTTTTAATAAATTGGCATCACTCGTCTGCTGTTGGCGTTTTATTGAACCAGTTTCGGTGTAGCTCTCGCAGGTTTGTGCCAATTTTAACACTAAGCTATATTTAAGGGCAGATGTTGCAGAGGTTTAGGTGAGTCTTGCTTAGTCATCGTGTGCTGAATACCTAGCACTTCCCAACGCCCCATCCCTGTGACATCATCCTGTTGTCTAGGCCAGCCTGTACGACTGGGACTCGGAGACACAGGGCTGGATCCTGGGCTCTTTCTTCTATGGCTACATCCTGACTCAGATTCCCGGAGGCTACCTGGCCCGCAAATACGGGGCCAAGTGGCTGCTTGGACTGGGCATCCTGGGCACTGTGCTGTTCACCCTGCTCACCCCGCTGGCCGCAGACTTGGGCGCCGGCTACCTCATCGCTGTCAGGGTGCTGGAGGGCATTGGAGAGGTACGGCAGGCCCCGAATACATGCAAACCCCAGTCATTGGCTTTGACCAAGACCACAGTTTACGCTCTTCGGAGTTTTACTTACATAGTTTTACTATGTTCTCTGGGCAGAACGAGAAATGATTGGTTCAGAGAGATAACCAATCATATTGTAGAGGGTCCAAGCAACTAGAGAAGGCAGGACCAACCAATCAGATGTCTTGGTCCTGCCTTCTCTAGTTGCTTGGATGCACCTCCTCTATAATCTGACCTTTCTTTCTTTCTTTCTTTCTTTCTTTCTTTCTTTCTTTCTTTCTTGTCTTTTCCCTCTGTTTCCTTTGTATTATGCCGTATAAATGATGTAGGAATGTATTGCATCACACCCATGTACAGCACCTTGGGGTGACTTCATTGTGATAGGCGTCATATGAAAATGAATTGAATTTAATTGAATTGCTGTGGTTCCGGTATCTTTCTCCGCTGCTTCTGTGTCACC